AGAGGTCATTTCTATACACGAGTCTTCTGAGCTTTGTGCCAAATAAGGTGGGTGTAATTTTCAGGGTGGATAAAACTGAATGGGGGGCAGGGGGAGAAAAATATTTTTTATTTAAATTGGATTTTTTTATTTTTATATTTAAATTATTTCTTTTTAAAAATAAACCTATTTAAAATTAAATCAATGTACAACAAATTAAGGCCTAAATCTCTCAACATTTAAATAAAAACTAAATATGCTGAATCCATGAGTCTCTAAAAACCCTCTGAATTAGAGTTACAGGGACTGTTTTTCTATATAAAGAATCAGGGGGAAAACATCTAATTTTTGAGATCAAGCTTTATAAATATGGCACGATATGTATGTACTGTATTAAGGGCTCGATCGTGTGGGGCAGCCAGGAGTTGTGCTACTGGGTGCAACAGGCTGGCAAAGTTATCATAGGGAGCCGGCCTCTGACTCTAGGAAACACCATCATGTATCTCATCAGGACCATCCACTGACCCCACCTGGGTGGTTTCATACTCCTGTTTTATAGCTTCTTTCTACCTCAGCTGTGATTGACTCAGTTGTCAAATTATGATTATTTATGACTCCACCCACCATGAAAACTTACTCTGCTGCTCATGGAAAAACACTGAAGTTTATGTATGCAAAACGTTTAGGGGTGTTTTAATAAATTGTATATGTTGCTTTATGTGTTTAATTAAATTCCAATTACCATCCTAATGCAGATTGAGACAAATCATTCACCATTTTCTAATATACTAAAAATGTACAATTAAGAATCTGAAAATATTAAGTTATATAATTGCTTAAATAAATGTATATAGTGCGGTATTCTCTAACTCGGTGGTTTTCAAACATTTTTGTGGAGACCCAGTTGAAGACAATTGTTGATGTCTGCAACCCAACAGAGCTGGGGGTGAGGGGTTTGGGATGTGGGAGGGGCTCAGGCAGAGGGTTGGGGTGAGGGCTGCGGGGTGGGGCTGGGAATGACAGGTTCAGGGTGTGGGAGGTGGCTCTGGGCTGGGGCAGGGGGTTGGGGTGTGGGAGGGGGTCAGGGCTCTGGGTGCAGGAGGGGGTCAGGGCTGGGGCCAGGGATGAGAGGTTTGGGGTGCAGGAGGGGGTTCTGGGTTTGGGGGGCTCAGGGCAGGGGCTGGGGTGTGGGAGGGGATCAGGGCTCTGGGCTGGGGTGGGACCAGGGATGAGGAGTCCGGGTGCAGGAAGGGGCTCCGGGTTTGGGGGGGCTCAAGGGGGCAGGGCACAGGGTTACTTTGGGTGGCTCCCGGTCAGCAGCAGTGATAAGGCAGGCTTCCAAGAAGCAGCCAGCAGCAGGTCTGGCTCCTAGGCAGAGGCGCGCGCGGCTCTCGCCCACAGGCACTGTCCCCCCCCCCCCAGTGCAGAGCCGGTGCTCGGGCAGGAGCAGCGCGCGGAACCCCATGGCCCCCTTGCCTAGGAGCCAGACCTGCAGCTGGCCCTTCTGGGACGCAGCATGCTGTCAGAACAGGTAGAGACTAGCCTGCCTTACCCAGGCAGCACTGCCAACGGGACTTTTAATAGCCCGGTCGGCGGTGCTGACCAGAGCAGCCACGACCCAGTGCCTTACATTCCATGATCCAGTACTGGGTCGAGACCCGCAGTCTGAAAACCATTGCTCTAACTAGATAGCAAAAAAATTTAACAAGTCGAATGTAAAAACTATTTAGTTGTAAATCAACATGTTTTAATGGTTATATCAACCAATGAGAATGCATCTTTCTTTAGAAAATAACTGAAGTACAAATGGAAAAGCTGATTAAAAATCAATGATTTAAAACACTGATTTAAATTGCTTTAATTTAAATAATTTTCATTTAAATCTGCAGTACTTCATTATAACAACCTTTTCATTTCCATGGAATTGATAATTTTGTGTTTAGCATTTTCTTTTTAAAATCAAATACAAGGTTATTAAAATATAATTCCAAGCATCCAGTACTTAAGTCTTCTTGAAAAGGAAATGTCTGAAGAGAGTTCAATTTAATTTGGATTGCAAGATGCTGCAGACAGGAAACCTTGACTTGTTATATGTTTCTAATGTTCAAGACCCACATTTAGTGTCATTTTAAAATAACTTTTCTCTCAGAAAAAGGAGCATTTACAAAGGAGGGAACAAGTTATTTGTTTCTGGACTTCAGAAACTTCTGACATAGTCCAGATACAATTAAAGATTTATTGTTTCCCTTCAAGTAATTCCCCATGTTCACCATTGAGAACACTAAAGATACTACAAGATAAATATGAATAAGTGACTGTAAGAGTAAAAAAGATAGAGGGTTTGGGGTAATAGTTAAGGTTGAGTTTAGGTTTGAAGTAAGTACTCCAACATTATCACCTGGCAGCAAATCCGTCAAAACAGATCAGTCTAATTCTAGATCTTTATATCAGACAGATCATGAACTTGATCATGAAGCAAAATAATCGCCTTTGAGAAGCAATACCTCAAGGTGCAGTTAGATTTAGGCAGTGGCACAAAATGGAAATTCCGGAGTCAGAAATCTATGCAACATAGTTAGGCAGAGGTCAATTTTTATTTTTTGAAAATTTCAATAATTATAGATTTAAAGCTTTTTTGAATGTTCATCAATTTAAATTTTCATAATTGCAGAAAATTATGAGAGATGGGGTCAGACAATAGTTATTTATTGACAGATACTGAGATTCAGAAAGTTAAAGCTGTTAAACTTTAAACCTGTAAAAACACAAACTGTCAACATCACACCAAAAATATACAAAGTAAATATCCTCAAATCAAACCCCAATAATTTCTCAAACAGCGTTTCCCCTACATTGCCTATCTGTAAATTTCAATTATTATTGAGGGAAATATTTTTTGTTGGTTTGTGTTTATATGCTGAAATCAATGTTTGACATTTACTGATAAAATCTAATTCTTCCAACCCTAAACATAATAGATAAAAGATAGAGGGTTTGGGGTAATAAGTAAAAAATGAAATTTGACTATTTTAACTATGTTCTCTCAGAACTAGAATTTATCCACATTTAAACACTGTAACGAAGTTTCAATAGCAATTCTTCATGTAACTAACTGCTCACACACACACATACACACACAAAACTGTTTTAAACTACAATTTTGCAATTGTATACCAAGCTAATGGGGCACATGCCAAACGGCAAATTATTGCGAAATGGGACTGGTTCCATGGAACACTGTAAAGGAAAATACTCAGCTCAGATGACTGATTTCTCAAACTGTACCATCAATTTTGTAAGAACTCTTCCTTCTCATTTTATTTGGACTAGCATAATACATGTTTTGGAATAAAAGGTGATTCTGCTTTATATTACCCATATTTACTGGAGATACAGAAAAAGACATTATAATAGGGCCACATTACACAGTGAAGTCCAGTACCTTGCTTACTCTGGTTTATATTTTAAAAGCAGCCTCATTGTATTATCTCAGGTCTCAATTTCTGTGGCACTTAATTCTCGTTACTCAAATTTTAGTATCTGATAACTCACACATAAAACAAAAAATAACCAAAAATCCAAAGAACAAATAAATGATCACCTATACAAAACTGCCTCTAATTTCAAAGAATATTTTACTGGTTTTGTTTACTACAGTCTGAGATTGTGAAGAATGCAACTGCAAGTCAACTGGGTTAAAACATCCCAAATTAATAAATGCAGAATAAGTCTGCCAGCCATTATTGAAACAGATGAGCCCCCCCCCGTCCCCAATGAGACGCAGCTAAAACAAACAGAGAAAAACACACCCACAGCACAGACAAACACAGCCAAGTATAAAACAGAACAATGAATTTCATAGGCAAGACAAACACCATTTTAAATGGCCCTTTTGTGCATCTGTTTTGCATTTATCTGAGTTATATGATGTTATGTATTATTCATGTATTGCTACACTGTATTAACACAAAATGAGTTCCTTCCAGTATTTAAATTTCTTTGATTTCTTCTATTAATTTGAATATCAAAACATAGTTTTGTGTCTCAAAACTTTTGTGTATCCGACACTTCGCCTGTTAGCATTTATTATAAAGCAAAATTACATCTGGGAAGCATAGGATAGCAGGTGGCAGGCAAACTATAATACATTCCTCTCGCTTTCTAGCCCCTACCCGTGAGAATACTGGAACAGCTTGCTGCAAGGCAAGAGTAGCAACGGGGATTTCCGCCCCTGATGTTGGGATAACCAGGCGGCAGCACTGTGACATAACATCACAAGTAAGAATGACTTACTTCCCAATAAGTAAAATGTTTACAGACAAGTTGAAATCCAAAGAGATACATAGCTTAGCCATTTAAAAAAAATAAAACTTAGAAAGGGGAAAGGGCCTATCTACCACAGAAGGCCTGGCTCTACCATAGATTTAGAGCAGCAAAAATCCATGGGTACAAGCATTGTGCATCACTGTGTATCTAGACGTAACATTTTTATAAATTAGCAACTGTCAAGACGTTATGGGGAGGAGAGTGGCCTGTAGTGTATACGAAAGACAGCAACACATTTTAAAACCAGCAATTAAGTTTGAAAATAAAAATAAAGGCGAGTGATGTCCCCAGAACTTACAACCCCTGCCCTCCCTCCAAAGGATTGTCCCTAGGCGTGAACTGAAAATCAAGGGAGACTTTTGCTCACCTTAACACATCGCTGGCTTCATCTATCGCTTTTCATAGTCTTCGCGCAGGGACATGCGTCCTCAGCGGCTTTCCGACTAACCACTGCCTGAAACCTCCCCGAGGGGCTCTCGCACCCCACGCCCTTACGGAGCCCCCCAGCCAAGGAATCGCCCCAGGCAGATCGCTACTAAGGCCTAGTTTCCCGGTGACCAGGGCCTCTGCAGCAAAACAAGCCCCCCAGCTCCGCGCCACACCCCTTGCCTTGTCCGGCCACGCTGGCTGCAAGGGCCAGCGCCCCCCGCGCACAGCCCCGGGGCGCCCCACGGCCTAGGGCTCACGGCACCTACCTGCGGCAGGGGGCTCGGGCAGGCTCAGCACCAGCAGGCAGAGGAGCAGCGCGGCGCCGAGGCGCGGCATGGCCGAGGTCGGGGCGCTGTTGTTGACCGGGGAGTGGGTGGGCTCTGCTCACACTGCGCTGGCTCCGAGCCTGGGCGGGTCACTGCTCGGCCGCTGCTGCTCCGGGATCTATGTGCAGCGCCTGGGACCCACCTCTTCCCGGAGCTCCGGCCCGACCCACATGCGGGGCGGGGCGGGGCGGCAGCCAGCAGTGCCCCCTGGCAGGGAGGAGCCGCGCAGAGCCTGCAGCGGGATCGGGGAGCGGGCCCCGGGGCGGCTCGGCCCAGCGCCTCCTTGGCAAAGCCGGGGACCCCCGCGCGGGCTGCTCAGACGCCGCCGGCGGCGCGGCGTGGGGCCCCGGGCTGGGGCGGGGGGAGCGGGGCGCTGAAGGGCTCCCGCCCCCGACTGTGACGCGGCTGCGGAGCCCCGGCGGCTGGGCCGGACCGGGCTGTTCCAGCGGAGGCTGCTGCGCGCCCGCCCCTGCCCTTCGCCTAATAACCCTGCGGGCGGGCACAAGCCGCGCCCCCGGAGCCCAGCGCGGGTCCCTGCTGCACAACAGCCCCCTTCCCCCCCGGCCTGTGGTGGCCGAGAGAAGCCGCGGCCTTGCGGTACTTCCTGGTGCGCCAGCTACCGCAGCCCTGGTCCTCAGCCCAGCCGCAGGAGGGGGTGGGACTGGGACACACCCAGCTTGCCGGGCTGGGCCACTCACACTCACCGAGAGTGCTGAGCCCTTTGGGGAAATGACCCTGGCCGCGAGGAAGAGCACCAAGGCCTCCTGCAGCTTTTTTGCCCCGTTATTTGTTTGCTAATTGTGGTTGCAGTTGTCCCGGAGGGCACGTGTAACCCTAAAATTAACCCTCTTCCTGGTTTACAGAGACACCCAGCCAAACTCCAGCTCGTAAGGCCCAGGCTCCCAGCCAGCGCACTAGACTCCATTGCCTCGCCTTTAATTAAACAATAAAAATGTGAGTGAATTTTGCTCAGTTTACAGGAAAGTTCAGCTTTAGACTAAAACCAAGCATGGAGAAGTATAGTATGAGCATGTGAAAGCAGGTGGTGATAGAATACAAGTCTGAATAGTAAGTTCAATAAAAAAAATAGTGTTTATAGGGTATTGTTTTAAATTATAGCACCATGTAAGATGAGAAAATATATAATAGATGAAGAATAAAATTGTAAGCCCCAATCCTATAATAAGCAGATCCAGTTCTGTGGATGATATCCCTGTGGCGTGCAAAATCCCCTTGCAGGGCTACCGTAGGTAGGGGTAGATTTTTTCCTTTAAACTGACAGAAAACCAAACTTTTGAACAATCTGGAATGCTCTAAATGAACCTGATTTAATAGAAGCAGTACTAATGAGGGGACCAAAAGTGCCAACTACATGCAATGTATTTAGTAGTTCTATAGTTATTCTATGGTTTGAGAAATAAAGACACACATGCTCTGGTTATCATGACCACACGTGGTATAAGCTTACAGAGGAGTGTGCAGTATTGTGTATAGATTTGTGGTTTTAAGTGAGAAAATCTTGCATCAGGTGGTTAAAAAGTCCCTTTGCTTTCACTTGTTGCATCTGGCACACTGCAAACACGTGGTTATATTCTAACCACACACCTTCACTAATGTTATTGATTACACAACAACAGTAAACAAGGGTGCTGGAACAATTTTTATAATGGGGGTGTTAAAAGCCACCCTCACACCCCTAGTTCCAGCACCTATGATAGTAAATTTATACAAACCCTGGGTAATTTTGAAAACCAGAGTTCCTCCCAACTCAGATACTATATTGATAATTGTAATAGAAATAACAATTATCAAAAAATAAATTCAGAGGGCAGGAATCTGTCTTTTGCAGCCCTTAATGTACTTCTAGCATCTTCATCAACTTTAATAAAACCCACTTAGGCTGCACAGGTCAGATTTATAGGTACATCCATTGAGTAGAGGCATAATGCTCTTCAGAATAAACACCAACAATAATAGTGAATAATAGGCATTGCTTGATTAAGAGGAAAAAAACAAGGTTTTGCTGAGACACAAGTCTATCTGTCTATAGTTAATTAACTTATATGGCTCTCACCATTCACCTTCAATGGTCCCTTGAAATATGTGCTAACTACTTATGCTAAACAATCTGTTTCACCTTGTATTTAGCTGTGACACTGAGGGCTTGTCTTCATGTACAGTGCGCCAGCTGTGCCGCTGTAGCACTTTAGTGAAGACGCTACTACACTGATGGGAGAACTTCGCCTGGCAGCATAGTTAATCCACTTCCCCAGGAGACAGGAGCTATGTCGATTGGAGAAGCTCTCCCGTTGACATAGTGCTGTCTACACGGGGGTTAGGTCAGTATAACTACGTTACTCGGCGTGTGGATTTTTCACATTTTTGAGCAACCTATTATACCGATATAGGTCTGTAGTGTAGACCTGGACTGAGTACACTTCCCAGATGTGAAGAAGAGCTCTGTGTGAGCTGAAAAGCTTGAAAAACAGAAGTTGGGCCAGTAAAAGATATTACCTCACCCATCCCCTCTCTCTCTAATATCCTGGGACCAACATGACTGCAACAACACTGTATTCATTAATATTAAATGATAGTCATGTGCCTAAATACACAGACAGTAGCATGAAATGTTTTGCCTGCTTCCCCTGTCTGCTCTAAACTCCCAATGAACAGTAACATAGGATCAAATGCAGCAGCAGCACCACCACGAGCAAACACAACACTGACTTCAGTAAGAGTTGCAACTGCTTAGAAATTTGATAGGATCTAGTACCTCATGGGTAAACAATCAGCATGTATTTATAAGGAAAATATATTTGTAGGCATGACACTCCTGTTCTTACTACAAAAAGGACCCCATCTCTCTGAATCTACGTAGTCGGAGGGCATAGAAGCAAACACCACACAACAGATGTACAAGTAATGACAAGAGCACAGCAGCCAAATTAACAGAGAGTATCCTGACCACTGGGCAAGAATAACCCAGAGGTGCTCTCATTTTACTGAAACAGCATTGCTCTCTCTACACTAATAGAAAGCTGAGCCAGTTTTGAAAGCTATGTCCCAGTGTTGGGGATGCAACTTTTAAAGCTGACAGTGTACAAACACTGCACTTCAAGGAGCCATTTTAGAGGATGCACCATAGTTTTTGGAGGGATAATAAACTGTGCTATCAGAACTATGGGCTCAGTCCTGGAGGGTACAGAGTTTCCTAAACTGTCGTTGGCTTCAATGAGAATTTAGCATATACAACACCTCATAGGATCAGGCTCCATGTTTGCCCCCACCCCCCCCCATCAGAACTTGAATCAAATTCTGGAACAGGCTAATTAAAAGTTTTCAAATTTGATTCATAATTATGCAAGACTTGCTAAATTCTGTGTTCACTTTTTAATCTTTTAAAATAGTTGTTGGTATTTGAAGCTAACATTTTATCTGGTGAAAAAACTTTAAAACATATTAGTGAAACAGTTACGATTTTTTTTTAACTATGATAATAATCTTGATAGTGTCTCTTTAAATGTAGTCCTTTGGAACTACAAAACCCCATATAGGACTATGATGTATCAATACCTTCTCAGAACAAGAAACTGAGGATTAAAAAAAAAATAAAAATAAAATAAAAGACCAATTCAAGAACACCAGAAAACCCAGTGCAAGTTACCAAATGAAATATAGCCCTGGCCAATAAGTGTCAGAGTTCCAACAATAGGAAACAGAATGATGAGCATAGAAGGACAGTTTTCTGGCTAAGGCACTGGACTGGAACTCAGGAGAACTGGGTTCAATTTGTGTGTGACCTGGACTGAACTTCTCTACATTTCAGTTCTGTAAAAAAGGGGATGAGAATCCTTCCTGTCTCCCACCCTTTGTCTGTCCTGTCTATTTAGATAATAAGAACTTTAGGGCAGTGATTGTCTCTTACAGTGTTTTTGTGTAGTGCCTACCACAATGAGGCCTCCATCTCAGTTGAAACCTTTAGGCATTACTATCCTACAAATAATAATGATAATGGTTAGAGAGCTCCAGTTTTGTTATGTTCTTATGAGATTAAATACAGCAAGACAGTACAAAGCAAGTGCTGAAGAGTCATCAGCAACCTCATCAGGAGGATGCTAGGGAAGATGACAGGGATGAGAACCACTCCATGATGTAGTGCAGCTGCCTTGAAAGATGCAGGATTTCCTCTGTGCTATGTCTCCCCAAAGCATTTTGTCTGACCTCTTCTTGAACCCTTCTAAGAAGAGTGACTCATCTATCTTCTTTGGTAATTCATATCTAAATAAACTTATCTTTTCAGTTTCTTAATGCAAACTTACATCTGTTCAGCTTACGGTTCTTAAAAAACTCCGTTGAACTTCTGAGTCAAGAAGTTGATCTTCAACAAGCTGGTGAGCCAGTTTTGCATCAATTATAGATGATCACTTCCTTAATCAACTGATTTCTATCTTTCAAGGAAGATACAAGTATAAAAACAAATATGGTCGTGTGCACAACTATAGAAGCAGGGACTGACCAGTCCTTGATGAATTGTACAGAGTAAGTATCAGAGGGTAGCAAGGGCTCATTCACCTGCACCTCTACTAATGTTATATATGCCATCATGTGCCAGCAATGCCCCTCTATGTACATTGGCCAAACCGGACTGTCCCTACGTAAAAGAATAAATGGACACAAATTGAACATCAGGAATGGTAACATACAAAAGCCAGTAGGTGAACACTTCAACCTCCATGGACATTCTATAACAGATTTAAAAGTAACTACACCTCTACCTCGATATAACGCTGTCCTCGGGAGCCAAAAAATCTTACCGCGTTATAGGTGAAACCGCGTTATATCGAACTTGCTTTGATCCACCGGAGTGCGCAGCCCCGCCCCCCCAGAGGACTGCTTTACCGCGTTATATCCGAATTTGTGTTATGGGTCACGTTATATCGGGGTAGAGGTGTATTCTTGAACAAAAAAACTTCAGAAACAGACCTCAAAGAGAAACAGCAGAACTAAAAT